ACGATCAAAAGATCAGCCTCAGAGGGTGTAAAAGTAAAAAAGATCTACAAATCTGTTGCCCTCAAGGAAGCAGCATCTGCGACACGATCGGAGCATCCAGTTGGTACAGAAGACGCAAAGATCAATGTTGAAGTCCCATTACCAAAAATTCAACCAGGTGATAATTCAAAGGGACAAAATGAACCCGTTAATGGGGAATTTCTACTCCCATTAAAACGAGTAGATGACGACTCGGGTCAAAAAAGGTACGCAAACTATCATGTTCTTGCTGTAAATGTATCACATGTTCTTGTAAGACCTTGTTGGGATTGTCTGCCCGATATTAATAGCAACAATTATTTAAAATTCCTAAGTTTTATCAAGTAAATGATAGGAATAGCTGGCGTGTCGGAAAAAGGTAAATTTATGTCCCCATTTTTGCTCTACAGAGCGGACAAAAAGAAAATCCGATTGAAGGAGAGAAACAAAGAAAAATCTCCTGCAACACTTGAGACAAATCTGCAAAGCCACAAAGATCATTGTTCTTCTCGAAGATTTAAGCCACTAATTTTAGAATCTAACAAAAATAATCTTGAGAGTTCGTTGAAAAGACAACAAATATCGAGGACAGCGAAGAAGAAGAAAGAAAACAAGAACAAAGTAACCGCTAAGCAGCGCGATGTAGGCGTCTCTTGTAGTGACCAGTCAACGCGGTCAAACTTCTCGATACTCTCAGATAAAGACTTTCCTAGTCTTGGCAATAGTCTTTCGCCTGAAGAAACCCAACGTAAAGAAAAGTTAAAAAACTCAGGTAAGACTTCTTGAGCATTTAGATAAAAATGACGAGTTGTTGATCATTTAGTAACTCTGATGTTTGATTTGTCAAACAGTCGATCAAGAATCTTGTCAACTGAATCTTGAATCTTGTAAAGAGATCGTCCCATTGGTGCAACGTCCAGTGCTCCTCAAGGCCACGCAAACTGAAAGGTACTTAAAAAGCATCGAATAGGAAGAGATTTTTATTAGCAAATCGACAGTTCACACTGTATTAATATTGATTTGGTCCCTGAAAATCCTATCAGCTGACGACAGTTTGCCAGATATACCAGATTCGGGATTTCGGTATAGAAATGTTTTTTTTTTTTTTCGTTCCAATATTCTTTTAATGATGTTGGGTAGTGATAAAACAGAGACAGATGGTATAACGGAAAAGAGAATAATTGTTTTTGGACCTTTAGGGACGACAAGAAGAAAGGAAAAACAAAGAAGAAAAGAAAGGGAAGAACAGCAGCAATACTAGACCCAAATTTACAATGCGGTCGAGAAAACTCTTGCAAATTCAAACTCCGCAATGGCGTCTCTGGAAGTGGCCATCAGTCTCGGGCAACATTTTCTCTGGATTCCGAAGCAGACTTCCCTAGCCTTGCGAATAAAGTATAGCTCGCGTATACGAAGCTWGGACATTGTAAACTAATTACTACTCAATTTTTATTGGCTTGACTCACTTTTACTGAAATCTCTCCTGCTTTTATTGACGTCACTGATATTTTCTCTGAAAAAATTAAACACAGTCAAGTCTTTCATTACGTTTCTTCATATTAGTAAGTCACTGTTAAAATAAAAGATCATCGAACAAGAAAATGTTTCAATTAGCTGTCGTCCGACACATATCGCCATTGTTATCGCCTATTAAAATCAAGGTTGGGTAGGTTTGAGGAAGTATTGACCATTATATGTATCCTCCAATATTTTGGAGTTTTTTTGTACATATATATGTCATGGTATTGTATTTTTTGTATTGTTAATCTATTTCTATATGAATATCATACAATATGAACCTATTTTTAAATTTCTCAAAGTATTGCAGACAGCCTCCATGGGAAGACGGCTTTGTCAGGTTAAATTCTAAGTCATTTAACGTCATCCACGTGTACAGAATATGTTTCAGTACCATTCACATTCAACATTAGGTTTATTTGACCTTTATTACTTCTTTTTTCGATCATTGTCCCTTTGCTTAGTCATCTGATTTCTTCATTTCAGCATTGATTCGAGTCTGTTTTCGTAATCTTGTTAGTGGATAGTCGGGTTTCATCTCGTTAGGAAATAGCCGTCGTTTTACACAATAAAAGCCAAAGGTTTATGATATGCGGAATGCATATATATGTTTGATATTGAACCGCTCGTTCTAAGGGGTATCTTTACCGGAAATTGCTAAAAATAATCTTTAACTGACTATCGGCAGGAACAGTGCAGGAGACTTTCATGAATCGTGCTTGAAGCTCAATTGAGTGGCAGGTCTCACAAACCATACATAGAAATATACATCATTTCTTTGAGAGCACAATATACTTTGATTGTTTTCGATTACTGCGAATCGCTCGATCTTTTTGTGCGCATATTGGTCCGGAAGTTTTTTTTTGAAAAACAACAGTTTATGCTGTCGTAAATTACGTTGGACAAGTTGAAAAAGGAGTTACGTGCCGTTTTGGTGGTCCCAAATGTATCAAAGACCATTTTAGGTTTCCTATGCCAAGAAGTAGGAGCATATGATATTATGTCATTATTTTCAAGGTCTAAACTTTCATTTTGAACTAGCATTGATGCACCCATATGTGCACTTCAACGAGAGATTCCGGTTAGGAACACCGGATTTCCGTCAATAGTTAGTTTGTTCGAACTTTGTACACCTGAATTCGAAAGGACCGAATTCGGGTCATATGATAAATCAAAGCTACTCTTAGCTCAAAACAACACGGAGAATTCGTCTTCAAGCAAAAATTCACATACATCTGATAGCTGTTGCAAGATTCCTTCCATGCACCATGTAAGCGCTCGGAAAACTCAATTTATTGTGTCCTGTGATTGGTTGGATAATTGCTTGTCTTCGTTGCTAGCCTGAAATCTATAACC